GTGACTGTTGACTAATTATTTCATTTTTCACTTTTAAATGACAGTAAACTCATTTTCAGAAGGCTGTTGAGATGAAGTTATGTAATGTATATGAAGTAGAACTTCGGCCATTATTGCTGTTTTTGTTATTCTTATGAGCAATGCTTCTGAAGCTCTGTTGCAGTGGAGCATTTAACAGTGCCAGTGTTCTTGATTTCCAGACCAGGAGATAACAAAGGAAGTGGGGCTCCCTTAACACGTCATAACAAAGTTTCAATACATGGGACAACTTATCTTCCCTGTTCTGCCACTGCCACTCCCTCCCCACCTTTCCAGGGACTGACAGGTGATTCCTAACCATCAAGGTACATCAGAATTGTCTGAGGAGCTATTTTTACTTTTTAATAGTATAAAAAGGAACTTTATTCACATAGTAAAAAAGAAAAAATATTACAGAAGGGTATAAAATAAAAAGCAAACTCCTGTCCCCTCCAGTCTCATACTTCTTAAAAATAACTATCTTAAACCTTTTCTGTGTTTCGTGATTCTGGTGGTTTCCTCCACATTTCTACATAATATGCCTAAGTCTCTTTTTCTTGATCAGTTTGAATCCCAGCTGTGACTCTCCATTAGAAAGATGATCAATCATCTCATACTACTCTGCACATCCAGTTCTCAATGTTTGTTACTTGTGCCATCATTTGGAATTATTCTAATGAGTACCTTTATAATTTTAATACATTGAACCTTGATTTTTGATTCGCCAGCATTAGAGCTTTATAAAAATACAGGTGTCCAGTTACCTCTCCAGGGCTACGGAATGACAGTCCTTAGGGGTGACTATTTTGCAAAAGCTCTCCAACGTATTCTGATGTGTCCCTCAGGTGAAGGACCTCTATCCTGAGAGCCTGCAGTACACCAGCCAGGTCATCAGTGCTTGAATGAGATAGTAGGCAGAGCATTCGTCTCATGTCACACATTCATAAGACACATGTGGGACAGTGTGAAGTGCCATGGAGGTGCCAAAACAGCACACAGGAGCATAGTGACACAACATCTCCAAGAGTTCACTTGTCACAAAGTGTATTTTTTTAAATTTTATTTATTTATTTATTTATTTATTTATTTATTTATGAGAGAGAGCGCAAGGGGCAGAGGGAGAGGGACAAGCAGACTCCCTGCTGAGCAGGGAGCCCAACACGGGGCTCGATCCCAGGACCCTGAAATCATGACCTGAGCCAAAGGCAGATGCTTAACTGATTGAGCCACCCAGGTGCCCCAAAACCCTATTTTAGATGAGAAACAGAGTCACTCTATGAAGAGCAGCAGCTGGTACAGCTCTGCGGGGACAGTTGGAAGGAGCCTGGATTTGGGAGACCTGGATTCTCATACTGAATAACTTGAACCATCTTGTGCATTGATTTTAGTTTTATTCAATAGTACAGTGTACAGAGCAATGGACTCAGTATTTTGGGGCATGTTATAAAATAGGCAAAATGGCTCAAATAGAGTGGTGACGATTAAACTTCATAGTTTAAATCCTTAATAAAATGTAATTAGCAGTGTGACACCCTTACACATATAATTAATATCACAGATAAAGCAGATAAAGAAAAATATTCTAAATGCCAAATGTTACCCAAGGTTGTTGGTTTTTTTTTTTTAATAAAATGGCAAAGAAAATTAGAAAATGATTTAATTAAACCTTGTTTAATGAGCATGCTCCAGGGAATAGAATGAGTGAGTTGAACTTTGCAGTTAACTGGTGGGCAAATAGTTAACGCGTTTATTTCCCTTTCTTAGTCAAGAGCACTTGTCTATACTGTCAGAGTCCATTTTCTTGCATTATGGAGAAATCAAGCCTAGTCACTATAAAAGACTCATTTCTTAGTGATTAGGGACATTGTAGAGATTGAAGATTACCATTCCAGCATGAGATCTTACATGGGAGGGAAAATGCCAGCTATTAGATGAATATGCATTGTCTACAAGTTATTCCCTAATGTTGTTTCTTTTACCTGACATCAGAGGTAGGAGTTTATCGTCCTCTGTTCATTCTTTCCCAGGGGAGCACAAGGAGTTCCGTTAGAGGGTCCCGTCAGTTTGATTAAACATAACTGAGGTTTGGCTCCATTAACCTTGTAGTCAGACACTCTGGTGATGGAAGTGAGTGACATCTATGTTCAAATAAACTCTGCCATCCGTTTACTGTGGCCCCCATCATGTTCAAGAGGGGGGCAGTTAGTACAAAATGCTCAGGAGCTGGTTATAGATTTTCAAGTGGTAGAAGATGACTCCAGGAGGGAATTTCCATTTGATTCTCTCAATAGTTAGTTTATGAACAAGATGTTCTTTTTAAAGATCTCTAAAAATGATGAGAAATTTCTCAATGGTGCTTTAGCTTTTAACCAGTGGTGGGATTTCTCTTAGATGGTATAGTGTCTTCTAGCATATATTCTGATTCCATCTGTACCAACAACTTGCTAGACCACTGTGCAAATCAGTAGACCTCTGCAAGTCTATAAACTGTGGCTATGGGAAAAGTTAACCTGAGCTTCTCTTTCCAACCAATTAAAACTGTCCACTGGCATTTGCTGCCTGCTTATCATATTTCCCCTGCCTAATTAGCATTCTTGCTTGAGAAAGTCTCTGGTTTTTATTCTTTCACGCAGCAAATATGTATTGAGAATCTGATCTGTACCAGGCATTGCTCTAGATGCCAGGCTCCAGGACACATCAATGAACAAAATAGAAAAGGTCTGGAGAAACTTAAACAGGGCACTGAGAAGGAACTGGCTGGACTGGGTGGTGGGGTGACATTGGTTTCTTCTAGAAGCAGGACTTAAGACAAGGATTCAAGTACAAGTGGTTTCTTTGGATGCCAGTGAGGAATCTGGAAAGTTAGAAAGGGACAGGATGGCATCCAGTAAAGGTGCACAATCAAGAAACGTACCCCTGTGGGAGCCTGATCCCTTAAGGGACCTCTAGACATTGATGTAGAACAGGTCTCAGAGTTGTTTCCACCTCCCCCCACCGCAACTCTCTCACCTCCAGCCACTGGGGAAAGGAATCTGGAGTATTTTCCTACTAGCTTTCCATCTGTCATTGGTTGACTGCTTCTCTGAGTGTATTAATTCCCATAGGGTTGAAGTAATAGGTATTTGCGATTAGTATAGAAACTGAAATATCAGAGGCGCCTGGGTGGCTCAGTCGGTTAAGTGTCTGCCTTCCACTCGGGTCATGATCTCAGGGTCCTGGAATGGAGCCCCACGTCAGGCTCCCTGCTTAGTGGGGAGTCTGCTTCTTCCTCTCCCTCTGCCCCTCCCCCCCATGCTCTCTCTCTCTCAAACAAATGTATTTTTTTTTAAAGATTTTATTTATTTATTTGACAGAGAGAGACACAGCGAGAGAGGGAACACAAGCAGGGGGAGTGGGAGAGGGAGAAGCAGGCTCCCTGCAGAGCAGGGAGCCCGATGCGGGACTCGATCCCAGGACCCTGGGATCATGACCTGAGCCGAAGGCAGTCGCTTAACCAACTGAGCCACCCAGGTGCCCAAATGTATTTTTTTTAAAGTGAAATATCAGTGTATAAAGGGGAGTGGAAATGAGCAGGGTACTTACTGGCAGCATCTACCACAGGGTGGAAATTGGATCTTTAGGTAAGGGGGCCAGGAAAGACCTCTCTGAAGAGACTGCATGTTGGCTGAGATCCTAAAGACAGAAAGGAACCAGCCAGGGAAAGCACACTTCGAGGCAGAGAGAATAGCTAGGACAAAGGCTCTGAGGAGAACTGAGCTTGGGTGATTTATAAAATACAAATAATAAACAATCAGAACTTTGGAGGCACTTGGTGGGGGGTTGGGGGAGTATCTTTGAGTCACGAAATTGTTCATGACTAGATCTTTTAAACAAGGAACTAGATAAGTCAATGAGAAATTAAGAGACTTGGACAATGTCGTAGGACTTCATTGTATATACTAAGCTACATATTTACTTGTTTGTTTATTGTCTAGAATGTAAGCTTCATAAGAGAAGGAACTTGTTTTATTCACTATTAGAATATGCACTAGAGGTTCTCAAAAATTTTTGTTGAATGATGAGTAAAGACTTTCAGAAGACCTTAGTTCTAGTCCATGTTCTGCCACTGACTCACTGGATGACTTGGTGATCAATTCTCCCACTTTATCTCAGTTTCTTTATATGGAAAATAGACATAGAATTTCTACCTTATAAAGTCATAAAGTGAAACAGGGCCATAGATACGAAAGTACGTGCACTATGGAATATATTATACAAATACCAGGTTTCCTTTTTAAGTCAAAGACCTACTGAATTTGAATGAATTTTACCAAATGGGGAGGAAAGATTTATTCCTGGTAAAGGATCCTTTGTGGATGTTAGAACTGATCGGGCCTCACCGGGTAAAGAAAAGCTAGTCTGTAGTACAGGAAAGAGCACGGAGGGAGGGATGGTCAGAATCCAGACCAGAATCCTACCTCTTCCACAGACTTGCTGGTGACCTTGGGGAGCCCACAGGAGCTTGCTCCTGACGGACTTCAGATTCTTCTTCTCTCAAAAGGGTGGCGAATGTGGGTGGTAGTTAGTTCCCTCATGTGTCTATTCTGTTCCATATTTGTGGCATCATAGTAACCCCACTCAGTCTGCACCACACACTTGACGTGCATCATCACATTGCTTTTTCTCCCTAACTTCCTAACCTTCATTATTCAGACAAGAAACCATCAGGCAACTTAGCCCAAGGTAGTTTAACTAATGGCTGTGAATAGCAGAGCCAGCACTTCAACCCAGGCACGGCTGGCTTCTGAGCAAATGCTCTTAACCACTGTGCTAACTGTATACAAACTAAGTGATAACCTTCAGAAGGAAGGGAGGCACATATGTCTCTCCATTCAGCCAGTTTCACCTTATGGAACACGATAGAAATCCTGTGACCCTCTAACATGATTAACTTGACTGATCCAGGCAGCATGTTCTGACTCTTTCCCCTCCTCCCTGCACAGGGTTTCATGGATATTGACTTAAACAAATTCAAGGAGAGTGGAGCAAATGTTACAGGTTTCCAGTTGGTGAACTACACAGACACCATCCCAGCCAAGATCATGCAACAGTGGAAGAATAGCGATGCTCGAGACCACACCCGAGTGGACTGGAAGAGACCTAAGGTGAGGGGACGGGCAGCAGACAGCAAAGGACCAACCTGGTCCCTTTCCCTGCCCCAGATTTCTGGGCAGTCTTAGACTTCAGGAAAGGATAGCTTTCTAAAAGGAGCAAGATAAGGAAAATATATACATAAAAATTAAGGGTATGCTATAAAGGTTGGACAACCCAGAATGACAATGGTTTAAAAAGATAAATATTTTGTTTTTCTCTTGTGTAAGCAAAATTCAGAAGTTAGCAATCTGGGGCTTGTATAATGGCTTCACAATTGCCAAACACTCAAGCTTTTTCTATCTTCTTGTTCTGCTGTCCTCAGGATATGGCTGCTGCCTTATAGCCCAAAATGGCTGCTGAGGATCCAACCATTAACTCAGTATTCTACCCAGCAGGAAAGTGAAAAGGAAAATAAAAAGCACAATGACTTCTTTTAAGAACCCCTTTCAGAAGTCACACAGATCTCTATTCACATGCTATTGACCACATCTTAGAAACCTAGCCCCAGCTAGCTCCAGGAGAAGCTGAAAAATGGTGTCTCTATTCTGGGCAGGGCCTCCATGTTGCACAGCTCCAGGAGGGATGCTGCTTGCATTCATTTCTTTGTGGATGGAGCCTTCTTGCGTTGTGCATGGAACTAGCCCTTTATCTGGTCAGCCACATACCCAGCTAAAAATCAGAGAAATCTAAGCAATATCCAGCTCATCTCTGCCTCAGAGCATCAACTCCCAGTTATGCAGGGCATCTCCCTCTCACTCCCCAGCCATGAAGCTCTAAATCCTACAGCCAAAATCTATTTTGTTTGCTGTTCGATAATGGTTTAGAATAAGGAGAGCAGGTATTTTTTCTTTTCCATGTCAGACCCAATAGGTTGGCAGAGGCTGTGTGGAACACTGTGTTGAGGATTCTGAGACCAAATTTGTTTATCTGGAGCAAACGGAATCCTTGGCAACTTTCTCTTGCCCCTCAATTTCTTTTTGCGAATGGCAAACCATTTAACTGAGATGCTTCTCATCCCACTCTTGCTCAAACTGATTTAGCAATTCAAAAATGAAGATTTATTTCCCATATGATTTCACTCATGTGTGGAATTTAAGAAACAAATGAGCAAAGGGGGGGGGGTGCAGGGAAGAGAGAAAGAGGCAAATCAAGGAACAGACTCTTAACTATAGAGAGCAAACTGAATGGTTACCAGAGGGTGGTGGGCTGGGGGCCAGGGGTGGGGATGGGTGAAATAGGTGATGGGGATTAAGGAGGGCACTTGTCATAATGAGCACTGGATGATGTATAGAAGTGCTGAATCACTAAATTCTACACCTGAAACTAATATTACCCAGTAGGTTAACTAATTGGAATTTAAATAAAAGCTTAAAAAAATGAAAATTCATTTCAATATGAGCTTAAGCAAACAAAATCACAAATGTGCTTTAAAGCAACGAACAAACCACATACCAGTTAACATGTGAATACCCTGCCCAACTTCCAAAAGATTGACGATTATAAAAATAACCAAATGTAATACCTATATTTTTTCTTTTAAAACGTGAAAGAATCATAGTCAAAAACTGGAAAAATACTCATGCATTCATTCTACAACTCTCTGTTGTGAACTTAAAATGTGTCAGGGAACAAGCTAGGATTGGGGACAAATTAATGAAGAAGACAGACACAAGTTCCAAAGCTAGAAAATAGTGTCCTGGATTGTTAGCCTGCTTTGTTTCATCAATATCTTAGCCCCCTTTCAGGCAAGAGGGGAAAAATGGAGAGTTATCGTGAATAAGCACAAGGGGCAAGTGTGCAGGATATAAACCTGCCACTTGTGAGGCACAATGTGGAAATAATTAAGAGCTTACCTTTCTTGGATTATTTTTTTTTCTTTCACTGTCACAAGAGATAGTGGAGTAAATAGTTCCTCTTGGCTCCCAACTGGTGCCTGTAACACAGAGAAAACCAACTGGTTTTCCGTGGACTGTATCAGAGCTATAGATGTGCTGCATTTAATCTACACATTCTTTTTCCAGTTGGAGCAACATTTTAAAATTGCCAGATTGCACACAAAAATCTAGAATTCTGGCTTCCCTTTGAAAGTCATAACTGGCAACACGGAACTCACAACACCGGCTAATGAGGGGAAGCAGCAACCCCCGTCTAAGGCACAGACCCTTCCTGGCTCACCCCTGCCCCGGACTCCCCATGCCCGGCCCACTGCTGCCATTCTCATTACCAGGATGCACTCTCCCAGACAGAGCTCCCACCTGCCTCCCTCTCAGCTCTCCCTGACACCTAACTGTCTCCATTCCTCCCACCAGTACACCTCTGCGCTCACCTACGACGGGGTGAAGGTGATGGCTGAGGCTTTTCAGAGCCTGCGGAGGCAGAGAATCGATATATCCCGCCGAGGGAATGCTGGGGACTGCCTGGCTAACCCAGCTGTGCCGTGGGGCCAGGGGATCGACATCCAGAGAGCGCTGCAGCAGGTGAGGCCGGCAGAGGCTGCCTCTTCTCATGGGAGCCTCTTAGGGGATGGCAGCATCAGTTTCAGGTGGGAGGTAGCTATTTAAAAGAAAAGGTAGAGAGCGCGCCTGAAGTTTGGACAACCACTGCATTGTGTTGGTGGCTCTTGGCATACATGGAAGCTCATGTAGAATTTTTTTTTTTTTTGTATGGAATTCATGGGGCACCTAGGTGGCTCAGTTGGTTAAGCAGCTGACTCTTGATTTTGACTCAGGTCATGATCTCAGGGTGGTGGGATCGAACCCAGCATCTGGTCCTCACGCGGGGAAGAGTCTGCTTCAGGATATTTTCTCTCTCTCTCTCTCTCTGTCTAAAATAAATAAATAAATCTTTTTAAAAAATAGTACGGAATTCCTGATAGTGTAAGAGCTGTATTTTCTGCTTAGGGATCATGCTGAAAAGGGAAGCCAGTGATTCTGCAGTTGGAAAGGGGACTTGAAATACATAGGGTTGAGACCCAACCATTTTAGCAGTCTCCTGGAGACTCCTCACTCTTGCCCTGATTTTCTGGATGTCTTCATTACCTTTGCTCTCTGGGCACATTTCATGAGGGGACCCTGACAATGTTTCTCAGTACTTGTGATCCTATTTTCTTGCTTCTCAGCACTGCAATCGTCAATTTTGTTTGCACTGAAGAACAGTTAAAGAACAGGGATAGAAAATGGTCATGGCCATTCCAATCAATTGGCTATGCAAAGGATTCTTAGGCTGAATCTAGTTTCAACAGGGAAGAGTATAAATATTCAATTAATGAGATGTCTGCTGTGCAAGCAGGATGAGACAGTGGTACACGTGGGCGTGTATTTAACATTCCTGATTTGGAAGCTTCTGGGAGCTTGCCCTCAGCTTTATCACTCTCAGAGCTCCTGGAAGTCTCTTGAAGTCTCTAGAAACACCTCAAGTCCAGGCTCTGATTCTTGAACTACAGATGGATAGATAGCACCATATGATGCCTCTGATGCCTCCTGATAGAAAGGCTGTATTTCCAGAGGGGACTGGGCAAAAAGATTGTGCCAAATCAAAGGAGTGTCAGAGTATCAGGCACAGTGGCAAGCCAGCACCAGCAAAATATTCAGATGCAGAGGTCACTCATGACCCACCTCCGCCCCATCCAGTAGACCTGCCTGGATAAGACCGGTTTTACTTTTAAGACTACATTCAACAGAAGGTGAATTGGGGCTCCCAGGGGAGGAGAGGAGCATTTTTGAATGAGGAAGAAATACAGAGCAAAGTGCACAGCCATCCCCATTTGTTTCCCAACCACACATGCGCAGCTCTAGCAATTTTCACAACCTGGAGAAAGAGACGAGAAAGGAACATCACCAGCTGTTCTCTGCTTGGATGAAGTGCCTTTACATGGAGGAGAATATGTCGTTCTGTCCTCTGGAATGAAGCTAAGCAGCAGCCCTGTGACTACAGGAGGAACACGCTAAGGGGTCTGCCAGCAGCCCTTTCTGCCCTCCCCTGTCTCCATGTAGGGTGGTACCTTCACTGGGCAGCAATAGCAGACATCGGGCAGCGACCAGATGATGGCCAAAGATGCAGCATCTGCCTCTGGCTTATTTAAAATGCTCTTCCAGACTCCACAGTCGAGACAGATTCTGTTTGCAATGTGAGACTGGTTTCAGAAGGTCCCGGGGACTTGCCCTTAGCTTCACCACACTTCCAACTCCTTTGCCTCTCCCATATTAATGCTGTCCCTGTCAGGAGGATATCCTTACGCCACCATGACAGTGACAAAGCCTAGGAGGTAATGTGTGTGGCAAGAAGGGCTCTGAATCGGGAGGCAAGAGAGCTGGGGTCCAAGTCCAGCTGGGCCCCTGGCTCTCTGAGTGACCTTGAATTACTCATTTCCATTTCCTACATACTTCCCTTTCTTTATCCATGACAATGAGAAAGATAGACAGACCACTCCCAAGTTTCAACTGGCTCCAAGCATTCTAAGCATCTTTTTCTCTCTTATGGTCTAAAGCACGTCTTTCTGATAGTCAAGTATACTCAATCTTCTGCTTCTGTCTTCAGTGGGACTTGGGAGGAGGCAAGTGCCTTAGTCAAAAGTATATGACCTCTTTTATATTGTCTTTGAGTCAAGACATGTGTCTGCCTCCCTGGCACCCAGTCAGCTGCTCCCTGAGAGCCTGTTGTGTGTTCTGGTCTGGGGCAAAGTACTGGAGATAAAGAGAAGGCAAGACCTACCCCCAAGAAACTCTATTCAGCCTCTATTGGGGGGTAGCATGGGTGGTTGAGAACTAGCCATAAACATGAAACCCCAACATTCTGATCCTAAGATCGGCCGTTCAAATGGATCCTTTTTAAATCTTTGTTAAGATTCTACAATCACCAAAAATGAACAATCAGGACTTCATCAAAATAAAAAGCTTTTGCAGAGCAAAGGAAACAGTCAACAAAACCAAAAGACA